CATATTGCTTCTGGAAGTCGTGTAGAGGACATTGAATTTTTGCATCAAGAGGTAAGTTTTTCCAACTTTGAAATCTTGATACAAGCATCATTTGCACTTACTTTTAAAAGATAAAATGTAGATATCATGTCTATGAAGTTAACCATATCTTTAAATTTCATTTTTATTGACTGTGGGATGAGAATTTTGAAACTGAATTTTTTGGACATTTAGGTTTTTGTTTGGTACCAATAGGAGATTCGTGAAAACCTTTGATTTATAGCTCTTAAAAATTACATGGTTGGATTCCTTGTTAAAAATCAAGCAAGTTTGGTTTTTACAACTCTTAATTTGGTTGAGAAATGAGGAAGTTAGAATTTTTTGAAAAAAAAAATGGAAATATGTTGTTACAGTAACAATAACGATGGATACAGGGAAGAAGAAGAGAAAAATCAAATTTTAAAAACGAGTTTATTTTATATTTATTGCTAGTTGTTTTATAAACAGATGAAACAGCCACCCCAGTGGCAAGCGTGTGCATTTTTAAGTACCTCTGACCATAAGGGTGTGGGTTCAAACCAATGTGAACCCCCTTTTATGTGATTTTGTGATTTCAGAAGGAAAGCTTCACAAATGATATCATGCAAACATTTTGACAAGCAAGAGATAAATAAATTTTGAGCTAACAGCCTTGATTTTCCTAGGTTCAAGCCTTGGCAGGACCAAACTTAATTTTTATCACTGTTTTATTTCACATTTTTTAACAAACTTCAACAATTTATTTAAACCAATCAAAATAACTCCTTTTGAGTTTGATTTTTTACATACTATTTATTTATCACCTCTATTTTATGAATATAAAAAATATCACAAAAATATTTTTTTTCCTTATTTATAATTTATTCAAAATAGTACCTTAATATCACAAAAACATGTTTCAAACTAAAATCATTTTGTCACAACTTGTACTAAATAAATTCATAAAATCACATCCGTTTCCCTTTTATTTTTCATCTTTTTATTTTTCCAAGATAAAATTGTATAGGTTTTGTACCCTCAAATGTAATAGCATAGATTTATTTTTTCTCGCATTCTCCTATTATGCAACTGTCAAAGGCTTTGTAATAGATAATTAGGGGTTTTATTGCTTTCTCCCCCATTCACACAATATGTACTCTCCATCCACCAAAGCCATGTAAAAGCGTAGAACATTTAAATTCTGTGATTTATCGTTTTCCTTAGTTTAATAGGATTGTATGGCAAAACATAAAACAAACATAACAAAACCCTGATTCAAGACAAACTAAATGAAAACAATACACTTTGCATACATGCACCTCTAGGGTTAACCCACACTTGTTACCTCAGATAAAACAGTCATGTCCCTCGAACGTGGGATACTTTAGCAAAAAAACCTCGAATAAAAGATCATAGTCCCTCGATGAACCTTCAAATGTTGCCTTCGGTAAATGATTTTAGTCCCTTACAAGAAATTGCTAAGGTATCCTACATGTTGCCCTTCTATGATCTGTACGATGACCCACCACCTGTCCCTTCATATCCAATGATATAGTTTCTTACTAATTAATGGTAAGATAACACTATCTAAAGGAGGAGTAAAAGAACAAAGACTTTCTTTTGATTAGGTAGAACGCTCGTTGTTGCTTGCTCACAAACATTTCAAAACAAAACATCTTTCAAAGAACACCAACACTTTCATGAAATAATTTCAAAAATCAACACTTTGTATACATTCTTATAGAGACGAGAATCATTACAAAGTTTTCCTAAACGAAGGCACTTTTCAAAAGTACTTTCAAATAAACACATTCACAAAAGCATTTCAAAGTGAGATAGCAACTAAAATCCCGTAGATAACTACGGATGAAAAGGGTGCTAATACCTTCCCTTTCTATAACCTACCCCCCGAACTCAAGAAAAATTATCAAAAGGTCTTTCCTGTTCTTTTCACCCTTTCCTTTATTGGATAAAAGAAAAGTCGGTGGCAAATATTTCTATCCGCAACATTTGCAATAAAACACAAAACACCTAAGTCAGTTCTCCCACTGTATTACAGAACTGGCGACTCAGCTGGGGAATATGACTTAAAAAGTGGGGTTACCTTAGAGATTAGTTTACATTTAAATTCTTTCATTGCTTGACTTGCTTACTTTGCTTTTAAAAGGGTTGTTTGGGTTTTTAATAGACCCTCTACTCGGATCTGGGGCATATTAGGTAAGTAGCAATAGATCATGGGGATTATGCAGCGTAACACCAACAAGGTTGAAGCGATGGCTACGTTAGTGCGACATATTTGTTGGTACTGGTGTCCCTTGAGTCAAGTCAAGGAAATTTTGGGGCTGCTATGTAGTGTCATGAAGCACTAACTGACCGTAGAACCTTAGTTGAACAACTTGGCCATTTGAAAGTAGTGATATAACTGACTTTGGTGCAAGACTAAAGTTGGTTGATACTCGATTCTGCACTCATTAATATCGTACTTTTGCGATATTTTGGATGCAGTTTGGATGCTTGAGCTAAAACAATGCCCAATGAAGAAAGATCGATAATATTAAGATTCCTTAGAACCCAGTTACTTTTGTTAGGACAGGTTGAACCAACTAAACTTTAAGAGGGTACTTACCTATAAACCCCATGCAAGCCTAAACCTAAGACCTTGTATGCTTGTTTGTGTGTGATTATTTGTTCATAAACATCATGACATCATGCCATAGCATTTTCACTAACCATTTCAAGGACTTGGGGATTTATCTTTGTTCTATTTTGCAGGATATGGCTTCTACCCGCAGAAATACTATCCGAGTCAACTTCGTAAGGGTACCTCCTCAACTCAAAGAGTTAGCGCCAAGGGTTCCTGAAAATTCTCCGTTCACCAAAATATATGGTCGACTTCTCAACTTGGCTACCTCAAGTTTGATGAAGACATGTTGAAGGTGCTCTTTCAGTTCTTTGATCTCGTACATCATTATTTCACCTTTCCCGATTATCAATTGGTGCCTACAATGGAGGAATTCTCTCAACTACTAGGAGTGCATATTCTTGACCAAATACCCTTCACCAGTCTAGAGATAGTTCCAAGACCTGAGGTTATTGCCAAGGCCTTAAGTTAGGGTTTGAAATTGTACGGTGTACGCGTGGGATATGCCAGTACTGGATCTGCAAACAAACATGTTAGAAAGAAAATAAAAATGCATGATCTGGGATTCCAACCCAGGTCCTTCATCCAGCGCACACATTCCTTTACCGTCTGAGCTAGATGTTCAATCAAAATAAAAGAAACTAACATTGAATTCAGCAAGTTTGTTAGTTTCAAAACCAAACAAGAAGAACCCATTCCACTCAAAATAAGCCCCTGAACCTGAATCTGGGGTTGTTTCGATCTGCAACGGTATGTACCATGGGTTTTGAAAGTGAGCAGTTTTGAAAGTCCTAGCCATGGTATCCTAGTGTTTAGACACTACAACTTATATATATTACGTTAAATCATTTACAAATAACAATAATAATATGAACATGCAATCAACATAAGTTTAAATTATGGATTGAATGAGACTGAATTTTTTTACCAACTGGAGGCGCTTTGATCTGCAATCTTGAGCGTGAGATGGATTATGCAAGGGTGGGTATGCGTCTGTGCAAACCCCAGGAACACGATTTGGATGTGAATTTTGACGAAGGGTTCCTGCAATAGGTGTTGAGTTTGACAACTTTGGAATTTCTTTTATGCAACTTTTGGAGTTTCTTGGAGGCAGGCTGCGCGTATGAGGCAATATGTATGTGTGTGTGTGTGTAGTCTTGGTGTCTTGTATTTATAGGAGGTGGGGGAGACAAGAAAATTGGGAAAGAAACATGACTTTAAAGACTAGCCATTAAACATGACTTTGAAAATAAAATTAGACAAATTTAAATATTGCCATTTAGAGAACTTTCATGCCATTTTGGAATTTTGAATGAACCTGGACAGGTGATAATTGGCGCCTTGTATGATTTCGAATGCTCAGAGCTTTCTTTATCAGAGCGTCTTCGATCAGCCCCCCCCCC